CCCTCGCTTAGTAACTCAGTGTTTGCTGAGCGACTCTTTGTAGCGTGCACTGTGACAGGCCCCCTGTGATGCGCGACTCCTAGAAACAGGCAAAGGCAGGGCCTCTGCTCTCAAGCTTTCGTCAGTACCTACTGTGTGCCCGGAACTGTTGTAGCACCAGGCAGGCGGCGTGAGCTGAATGACGCATGCGCACTCCTGCACCGTGCAAGCAAGTCGTTGTCGGGAAGAACATGGGGCCAGGGAGCAACTTTTCTCATTTTGTGCACGAGGAAGTGGCGCCACAGAGAGGTTATACAGCTTGCCCAGGGTGACTCAGGTTGCCCAGGCAACAGAAGTCAGGTGAAGAGTCTGCCTCCTCCACACCGCACCGCAGGCTCCTAACCGTCTCTGTGCAATGGTCAATCTGTCAGTTGGGGGTTCAGGCTGTTGGCGTAGAGTTTTCTTCAGCACTTTGGGTCATGGAAAGAATGCAACCGACAAAATCATTGCCCGGAAATGAGCTCTTTTCCAAATGGTGATCTGTCTCAGGTCTTTCTGACCCACACGCACAGACTTGTCTTGATGACACACGCCTGCCAGTGACGAGCAGACAGTGCTAAAAACATCAGCCCTGCCCTGGACCGGCTTCGCAGCACTGTGCCAGTCACAGCGGGAATGGCAGGCGCAGGGGTGCGCGAGGTGGGGTAGCGCTGGGAGTGTCTCTGGGTGCTTTGTAGAAGGACTAAAATGCAAACATGTGCCTAGTGTCTCTTCCCGGTATCGAATCCGGAGGGTGCGTAGCGCAAGGTGGGCCGTTCTGACAGCAAACTGTAACAGCGCTCGCAGTGAGTTTAATGCCAAATGTCTGTATTTTCAGACTGCAGGACAGAGCCATTCTTGTCGTGGTAACTAGAGGTGAGCAGATTTTTCCTATGGAAATTCTTTGGATGGGGTGTGGCACTCCCCGGTCTGCTATGGTTTGTGAGGTGCTGGGGTGTGTGTGTGTGTGTGTGTGTGTGTGTGTGTGTGTGTTACTTGCAAGATGGATTCCCCTTATTTGATTATTTCCTTCGTTAGGTTAGGAAGACAAGGAGACCTTTTATCTACCTGCAGTTTCCTTCCCCAGCTTTTTCACTTGAAATACTTTAGCTTAAGACTTTTTAAACCTGGCCCATGTGCTTCAAATATTTTATCAAGGTAATAAATCTTTTATGCCAGGGAAGATGGGCTGAATTTTGGGGAAAGTGGTAGCAGTAGGAATCTTTTCTGTAGGATGGTCACTGGGTTAGTGACCACACCCTGTCCTAATGTTAACTGGGAATATCTGGTTAGGGTCTATGTACGGGATTTTAACATTTTCAACACAATTTTAATAGTCAGGTGTAAAAAAATAAGTAATGCATGTTCTCAGAACTAACTGGAAATGAAAAAAGTTCATGTCCTGGAAAAAGAGGGTCAAATAGTGATTATAAAAGGCCAGAAAGGGGAGATGAGGGGCTAGAGATAGCTTGGTACTGGACACCAACACGTGGCTGTGCAGGAGGAATAAACTCTCGTGTTCTGCAGTGCCACAGGCTGACAGCAGTTTACACTTTATATAGTTTACAAAGAGCTAGAAGAATTTCTAGGTTCTAAAACCAAGCTGTGGAAACACGAATTTCCTAAGCTGATCATTATGGATTGTATACATGAATCAAATTACCTCACTACAAT